TCCAGAACCAGGCTCACCTGAACCAGAAGGAGGCGCACCCTCACCCCCAGACGCAGCACCCCCAGTGTCCGCGCGGCCAGCACCAGCTCCCGGACGACAAGAGTCCTCTGCACCCACCGGGTCAGCTCCAACTCCAGAACCAGAAACTCCAGCTCCAACCCCAGCTCCAACTCCAGTACCCCCAGAACCAGAAACTCCAGTGCCAACTCCAGCTCCAACTCCAGCTCCAACTCCAGCACCCCCAGAACCAGAAACCGGTACAGGAACAGGCGCCGCACCAACCTCTCGAGAGCTAGCACCAGCGGCACGCTGCGAGGAGGACTGTGGGGAGGGAGGCTGTACCGGAGGGGCTACCGAAGGAGGAGGGGTAGCCTGGGACACACCTGACGGGGCTGGACCAGGGGGGGGAGGCTGTACCGGGGGAGCAGGAGGGGGAACGGCAGTCAGGAAGAGGGGGGGAGGAGGAACCGGGAGACCTCGACTGGGGTACCTGGCGTAGTACGGAGTGGACTCCTCGAAACGGACGTCACGGGAGTCAAAGAACCGGTGAGAGGGAGGGTGGTAAAAGGTGAAGTCAGAGGAGTCCTCAGGGAAACCAAGGAAGACACAGGGGACGGTACGAGGCGAGAGCTTGTCCGCGGAGGTGTCGCGGACAAGAGCCAAGCACCCCCAGACACGAAACCGCGACGCAACACCAGGGGACCCTGTCCAAAGACTGGTCGGTGAAACCTCTGGTCGAGAGACACGTGGCCAGAGGTTCAGCTGGTGCGCGGCGTACCTGACCGCGTAGGGCCACAGAAAATGGGGGGCACAGGCGTGAGTCAGGGAGGTGCGGGCGATCTCCATGACCAGGCCTATGCGGCGCTCAGCAACCCCATTCTGCTGTGGGGACTCTGGAAGCGTCCAGGACTGACGAATGCCCTGCTCGCGACAGAATCCAGCGAGAATGCCGGAGCGAAACTCACCCCCACGGTCGGAGTGGAGACAGCTGACACGACGACCACGAGTGTCCTCAGTGGTGAGCAACCACCTGATCAGCGTAGAAGTCACCTCAGACTTCTTCGCCAGAGGGAACACTGTGGTGTAGCGGGAGAAGTCGTCAACTACCACCAGAAAGTAACGCTCACGCTCAGGGCCTAGACGAGGGGCTGGGCCCCAGACGTCCAAGTGAAGCGTCTCAAAAGGCTCGGTGGCCGGACGAAGGGAGGAGGAGTGAGGGGTGGCGCGCAGCCTACCCTCGACGCAGGGACGACACGGCGGCGCAGGCGAAGGCGGCAGCGACGGCAAGACACGTGGGAGGCCTAGGACAAGACGCTGACTAGACATAGCGCGCAGACGTGGAAGGGACGGGTGCCCCATCCGGTGGTGCCACAGAACGGTGGGGTGGGCAAGCGACCGGCAGGAGCACGACGCAGCGACTGGAACAGACGTAGGAACCTGACACGACACAGACACCTGGGGGGACGTAGCAACCTGGTGAGACGCGGGGACCCGAACGGGGGGGGGAACCGGGGGCAGTGGCAGTAGGGGGGGCTGCTGGTGCGGCCGCTGGTGCTGCTGCTGCTGCTGCTGCTGCTGCTGCTGCTGCTGCTGCTGCTGCTGCTGCTGCTGCTGCTGCTGCTGCTGCTGCTGCGGCTGCTGCTGCTGCTGCGGCTGCTGCTGCGGCGCACGCGGGCCAGTGTGAAGAGTGTAGAGACCCGAGCCCGGCTCAGCAGTAAAGGTAGCAAGAGGCTGGTAAGAGTCTCCGTCAACACACACCGCAGTCTCTCCAGAAGGCTCAAACCACACACCCACGTGCTGACTCACGAGGGGTCGCACGCCCACCAAGTTCCGGGAGAACGAGGGGACGTGAGACCCAGTGAGAGACCCGGAGGGAGCAGCAGGACACGGTAAAGTGGTAGTGTGACGTGCAGTGACTGGTCCCGTAGTGGGATCAGCCAACGCTACAGAAACAGGCGCAGGAAGTGGTGTAAGTGTCGTGCTGTCCCGAAAGAAGCAGTGGGAGGCTCCAGAGTCCAGTGTGAACGACAGCGAAGCGTCCTCTGAGGTAGTCGCTGGTCTAGAGTCTACACAAGTACCTACACTAGCAACAGGCAACTGAGCAAGACTAGCACCTAAGCTAACAACACCAGAGTAAACAGAGTCAGAAACACTAGAGTCAACAACAGCATACATAGCATGAGGAGCACTAATCAGATCAACTAACTGCTCAGCAGACATGCCCCACAGAGCGGAGCCGTGGCGCTGAACCAGAGGAAGCCAGTCAGGAGCAGGACCGCCAACCCCGTAGGTCAACCGGACCGTGTCAGTGAGCTGAGCAAAGCACTGACCAGGGGGGTGAAAGCGGCCACAAGGGTGGCCCCGACGAGGACCTGTCTGAACCTGGTAGGGGCAGGGAGGGTAAGCAGCACCGCGCTGGGGCTGACGCAGCCCCGACCCCGGAGCCAGCTGCTGACGCTGCTGCTGCTGAGGCTGCTGGGAGGAAAGGGGTTGCTGCCGCTGCTGAAGGTGCTGCTGACGCTGAGCCTGGTACCACGCCGCTGCTCCACCTAGCGGGGCCGGCAGTACAGGAGGCGACTGACGAGCTCGAGGGTCGCCGCCACCAGCAGGTGCAGTGGAGTCACCAGCCGCTGCACGAGGGGTCTCTCCAGACGCTGCACTCCCACCACCGCCAATCGTAACAGCACCCCCACTACCTCCGCTACCTCCGCCTCCACCTCCACCGGAACCACCTTTCTTGCCCCCCCTGCCGCGGGACCGCGACGCAGTCGTAACAGCAGCCGCAGTCGCGTCAGTAGCGGCAGTGGCAAGAGAGGCAGTGAAGGTGGGTAACTGCGGGACTGTGCACCCGTGGAAGAGTGGGGGGGACACAGTACCAGAGGCGGCAGCTACCGAACGAAGGTTGCTCTCGACGTCCTTGAGTGCAGACTCAAGGACCTCGATAGTCAGCTCACTAGGGTGCTTCAGCAGAAGCGCGTCACGAACGGAGGCAAGGCGGTCAGGGAGGCTAGTGGCGATGAAATAGACAGTAATCGCCATGGGGGGAGGAAGCAGTGCAAGCTGTGCCTCAGTGCAAGCAGCGCGGTAACTAGCGTCGAGCGAGCGGAGGTGATCGATCAAGTCAGCAGAGCGCTCAAACGAGGCAAGATCAGGAAACAGGAACGGGAGGAAAAGACGGCCGAGAGAGACAGTAGCGGGAGTAGAGTAGCGGGCCTTAATCGCAGTGAGGTACGCAGCAGCGGTGCGAACCTGAGTAAAGTGGACCTCCTCGGACTCAGGGAGGAGGCTGCTGAGTGCGATGCAGGCCGCAGCGTCACGCGACGTCCAAGCCGTCCGGTCAGCGCGCTGACGGGCAAAGCGAGCCGTAGCAGCGTCGTCAGGAGCAGGGCCTAAAGCGGTAGGCTCGGGGGGCTCGGGGAGGTCACCAGTAGCGTGTGACCAGAGGGTCTCGCCCCCCTGGACCTGACTCTCTAACAGACGACGAGCGCGAAGAAGCCAGACGGAAAAGTCAAGGGGTCTACCGTCAGCGTCGAAACGAAGAACTCGCGGAGTCGCCATAGTGAGAACCAACGCGAACGAACAGGCGAGTAACAACCGGGGGGGAAGAGGACTCAGTCGCAGCGGAAGAGCGGGCTAGGGCGACGGGCCAAAACGTAGGGTAGGGCAACGGGCCAGGGCCTAGGGTAGGGCGACGGGCCAGGGCCTAGGGAGGGCGACGGGCTAGGGCCTAGGGAGGGCGACGCGACGGGGGAAAGGGCGGGAGCGACGCGACGGGGAGGGCGACGCGACGGGACAGGGCGACGCGACGGGGCAGGGCGGCGCGACGGAGCAGGGCGACGGGACAGGGCAGGGCGACGCGACGGGGTAGGGCGACGCGACGGGACAGGGCGACGGGACGGGACGGGACGGGACAGGGCGACGCGACGGGACGGGACAGGGCGACGCGACGGGACAGGGCGACGCGACGGGACGGGACAGGGCGACGCGACGGGACAGGGCGACGGTACGGGACAGGGCGACGCGACGGGACAGGGCGACGGGACAGGGCAGGGCGACGCGACGGGACAGGGGGGGAACAGGCGGGCGCGACGCGACGGGGGGAACAGGCGCGACGCGACGGGGGGAACGGGCGCGACGCGACGGGGGGAACGGGCGCGACGCGACGGGGGGAACGGGCGCGACGCGACGGGGGAGATGATGCTAGGCTCGGTACTAGGCGCGGTAACAACTAAACTGGTACGAACGAGAGGTAGGATCAGGCTCGGGAGGTACGAACGGAGAACGGAGGAACGGGATCCCACAGGATCCTAACCTAGCTGATACCATGTCAGAATGAGGAATGGATGTTGCATTGATGTTGGTTGGGGTACATATGACAAACCCTAACTTCTGTACCCCCTAAGACAAACCTCACTACAGGCTACAACATTTGACAGTTACAAAGCAGTTGGTCGAGACGTCACTGTACGAAACCGCAACAGCAAGTAGTTATAACTGTGTCTCTTCATATTCCGTGTATTCATATATAATCTTGTATCTTTTTTGCTTTAATCAATTCACTTTGCCCTCACATACTAGCGCAAGGTGGTTCACAAACTCTTTATTAGACGCTTCCGCTACAACATCAACCCTACCTAGAATTCACCTCTGCAAAGATCCTAAGGGCTTTTTCAGCCCAACAGTGCAGCCCTGTAAGGAGTTCGGGCTCTTGTGTGAACACATCCTCAGGCCATAAGATTGCATCGTGAATCACTTATTTTAGAGTCAGGGCGAAGAGCTCGTAGTGCTACCCTCCGTGCCATTTCCTGGATTGGTGTTTGATATACCATGGCCCCAAATTCACTAGAAATATCCCAAGTACCGTACCATTTGCTGTGGTGGGTCTACCCTGTACGGTTATCAAATCAAGGGGTCTGGGGCTTTCACTCTTGTCTGTCATGCAGGGACCGCCAGCATGGAGATAAACTACCGTTAGGTATCATATCCCATCACCACTGCAATCACATTGATGCCAAGCTGCATGACAGCAAGCCATGTGAAACGGAGATAGAACGAGCAGCTCCCATAACTGACGGAAATGGGTTGAACACAGGCACCTGAAGACTGACAGGAGAAGACCAATGCAGCATGGTCAGGAGCTTATAACAATGGACATCACAGTGGCTCTAAGTGGAGCACACGGCAAGAAGTGAGCACAACAGATGGTCATTCTTAGTGTGACCATACAGTTTCCAAGGTGTCAGACAGTGCATGTCAGGAGCACTGACAGCTAATTAGTTCAGGCCGCACGCAGTCAAGGCTACAAATCATCGTCCCCCCATTTTGTTTCTCCTTCCGTCTTCATTCTTCCGTCATACTGGCGATAGCTTGAAACTGTTGAGCCTCTAAGGCCACAGGGTCATCGTCAGGGGAGTGTTCTTCAAGAATGGCCGTTAGCTGACCTTCTACAATAGTCCATGCCTGTACACGGGACATTCGATGGTGTACGAAATTGAGAAGGACGGACTTAACACCACAAACACTTGATACGCGAAAATAAGGCACGTTGGTCCACTGACTTCTCTCACCTGTGAAGCATCATAGCTTATGCGAGCGGCACGAAATTTCCTGTTTGATGAAAGGTTCACGTTCTGTAATAAGAAGATAAGAGCAAGTTAGCAACCATACCCATCAACAACGTGTCGTGAGGTAGAGAAAGCATGGCATAAGATGGTATCCATACCATAATTTCGATGGTTCTCGGCTCGCGAGACAGCTTGTCAGCATCGGGATGGGGATGGAATACAATGAAGGCGATGGAGAAGAGAAGGAAGCTAACGAGGATAGCCCATAAAAGCGACTGATTCGACGGCGAGCTCATCCATTGACTGATGCTTCGTGGGCTCTGTGACATATCGTGTGTGAATGACAGCCGCTTAGGATAAAGCGGTGAGTGCTCAGACATCTCCGACAGCTGTTTCTTAAGATGCAGAAGAGGAGTCTCACTAATACCCAGCCAGCTACCAGGGAACATAAGGAACATTCGCCACCGTAAGCTTAGGATTTCTAATAACGAGGTTGGACTATCGTCGTAGGCGTCCGTTCCAAGGTCTCGCTCTGTGGTGCCAACCGCTCTATGATTGAGCGAACCAACACCATCTCTCGCGTTCATGTCGGGGGAATCCAGCTTTGCTGATATAATCTGCAACTATGCATTCGTCTGCGCGATAGCAGAAACCATGCTCGAAGGAACAAGCACCAGATTGCAATGTGCCAAGTATGGGCCTCAGTTCACCTAAGAACCGTCAGTAGAGGGCGCTGCCCTCTTGTGGAGTACTAATGCTGCAGCTAAGAGCGACAGTTTGGCCGAGGCGCAAGGACCAAGTTACAGCAGCAGGATCACGCCTGCCTGGGCGGAACCTCTGGTGGCATATTTCGTCCCATTCACATTCACTGTCAAAGGTTTGTCCGGACAGATTCTTCAACGGCTAGCTGGAAAACGGGGGCCAGGCACCGATGGATTGCACCATTGGGATTGAAATTTGTATGATCAGAGCGCTTATTGGTTGCAGCGCGGAGTTCAGTGAGTCCGACAGACTCTGTTAGAGGGGAATTTGCGTTGGCGGATGCAACCGTGACTTCTCCAAGAGGTCAGACGGAGGGAATGGCGACAGAGAGGGGGAACTGGCACAATCGGTCGCATCGGCTGAAATGATAATGGCGGCAAAATTCAAGAGTCGAGTTTCTGACAACCATCTAGGGATGGTGTTACGGGTGCAATGAATCGAGGTAGCGAGAATTGCACTAAGGTGTCAAACGAGTACAAAATGTGAGCGAAGGCATGAGCGAACATTTATACGCGAAACATGCAAAACGGTAATGCGGTGCGTGCGAGCTTGCTAGTGCTACGCTGGAGCGAGGCTCGGGCTAGTCCCGAAGCGTAGGCCGATACGGCCATGCCAGCAGTGCGAGGTTTGGTAAAACAGTGCGCGCGAAGTCGGCGAAGTTCCGTTAGCAGTAACGGGCGAACAATCGGCTGTTGCTGTACGCGATGTAGTCGGCGCCGTAAGGAATGCCGAGAAAATTCCTTACACTACCCCCCCCCTCAAGAAGCCCCCTCCGCTACGCGAGTGCGTGTATATCGCGGAATCCCCGGCTCCTCAGGTACACTTGCAGGGTAGGGTGATTTTCGATGTTGCTCAGGGGCACCCAGCTATCTTCAGTTGGCGTGCGGTCTTTCCAGCGAACGAGGAATTCAATCCTCCTGATTCCCGTGGGGTGGCGGATCCGATGGCTCATAATTTTTTCGGGCTCGATGATCGGCTCTGATGCAGGGCGAGTCATTGATTGTGGCCGGTGACGCGGCAGTTGACTTGTGGTCGGGATGTATGGGCGAAGTAGGCTGACGTGGAACGAAGGGCTGATGTACCAGTCGGTTGGCAACAGTAGGTGTGCGGTGACGGGTGTGATCATGTGACTAATTTGGAATGGTCCACAGTAGCGTGGTCGTAATTTTGGTACGTCGGGTAGTCGCAGATTTTGCGTGTCGAGTAGCACGTAATCTCCAGATTGATACGTGACGGGGCGGCGGTGGCGATCAGCGTTGCGCTTAGCGATGACGTTGGCCTTTTTTATTGCTTCGGCGGCTCTGGCGCGGGCAGCTTGCAGGATTTCGGCGAATTGTTGTGCACGTGGCGTTGGGTTGTCCGGACTCGGCGTCATGGGCACTGTGGGGTTCTGCCCATAGTTCAGGTAGAACGGGGACTGCTGCGTCGTGGCTGATGTGGCGTTGTTGTACGCGAACTCGATCAGCGGCAGCTGCTGCTCCCAGGTCGTGGGGTCGTCGCACGTGGCACGAATCAACTGCTCCATCGTCTGATTCGTCCGCTCCGTTTGGCCGTCGGTCTCGGGGTGGTACGACGAACTGAACTGTAGCCTGGTCCCGAACTGCTCCCAGAGGTTCTTCCAGAAGTTGCTGGTAAATTTCGTGTCCCTGTCGCTGATAATTGCTGCTGGTATCCCGTGCAGGCGAACAACGGCTGCGATGAACAGGCGAGCGGTCTCCTCGGCTGAGATCGACTTTTTGCACGCAGCGAAGTGTGCCATCTTCGTCAGCCTATCCACGACGACCATCACCGCGTCGTTACCCCCAGGGTTCGAAGGTAACCCTGTGACGAAGTCCATGGTTACTTGCTGCCAGGCGCGTTCGGGCGGTGGGATCGGCTGCAATTGACCCGCCTTCCGCTTCCTTGAACTCTTCATCACCTGACACGTCGGGCACGAGCCCACGTGCTGCTGTACGTCGGTCAACAGCTCCGGCCAGTAATAGTACCGCTGCAGTTGCTGTCGCGTTTTTTCTACCCCGAAATGTCCCGAGGTAATCCCGTCGTGTGCCTCCTGTAGTAGCAGCTCCCTCAGTAGTGAGTACGCGGGTACCCAAATGCGGTTGGTGCCTGCTTTTATGTAATAGACTCCTTTTGCTTCTGCCAGTTGCTGTGAATTTCCGGTCGTGAAAAATGGGTCGGTGCGGTATCCGTGGGTGAATAGACCAGTTAAAAGCGGGTTGGTCTGGGCGAGTAGGATGGCATGGAGTTGGGCGGTGGGGCGGGTGAGAGCGTCGGCGATGTTGGATGCACCCTTTTTGTACGTAACGGTGTAGTGAAAATTGGACTCGAGATAGTCCAACCAGCGAACCTGTCGTGGGTTGAGATTCGGTTGGGCGCGAAGATACTGTAGCGAGCGGTGGTCTGTCCGTACTGTCACGTCGGCGCCAGTCAGGTAACATCGCCAAACCTTGAACGCGTGCACGATCGCTAGCATCTCGCGGTCGTGTATCGGGTAGTTACGTTCGGGCGGGTGTAACTTGCGGGACTCGTACGCGATTGGCTGGAGGCCGTTCCCGAAATCCTGCAACAGTACTGCTCCCACAGCGATGTCACTTGCGTCGGTGACGAGCTCGAACGGACGGTGGGGATCTGCAATGTGAAGGACGGGCGGGGAGCACAAAATATTTTTGAGGGCCGAGAAGGCAGCTTGCTCTTTCTCCCCCCACGTGTACTCAACCCCCTTCCTCAGCAGGTCAGTCAACGGGGCGGTCAGCTTCGCCATGTCGGGGACGAACCGGCGCACGTAGTTGACGAACCCCAGGAAACTCTGCAACTCGGTCAAGTTGGTCGGCGCGTGCCAAGCCTGAATCGTCGCAATTTTCTTCGGGTCTATTTCCACTCCTGCAGCTGAAATAACATGTCCCAAAAACTCCAGGCGGTCCTGTAAAAACTCACACTTAGATGCTTTGGTCAGTAGGCGGTTCTCACTCAGGATTTTAAAAACTGCTTCGATGTCTTGTAAGTGCTGTGCTCTGTCAGGGCTGTAAATCAGTATGTCGTCCAGATAAACGATGACGCACTTATCTAAAAGCGGGCGGAATGCTTCGTTCATGGTCATTTGGAAGGTGGCGGGGGCGTTGGTCAGTCCGAATGGCATGACGGTGTATTCGAAGGATCCGTAGCGTGTTCGGAATGCGGTTTTAGGGCAGTCGGGTGGGTTGACGCGGATTTGGTGGTAGCCTCCTCGGAGGTCGATTTTCGAGAAAACCCGGGCTGTGCGCAGTTGGTCGATCAGTTCGTCGGCTCGTGGGATGGGGTAACGGGATTTGATGGTAACCCTGTTCAGTGCCCTGTAGTCGATGCACATGCGAAAACCCCCGTCCTTTTTCGGTGTGAACAGTATTGGTGCGGCGAAGGGCGACGAACTAGGGCGAATGAATTCCTTTTCGAGCAGGTAATCGAGCTGCTTCCTTAGTTCGTCTAGTTCGGGTTGGGTCAGTCGGAACTGTCGCTGTACTGTTGGCTGTGCCCCCGGTTCCAGTTCTATCCTGTGATCGTGCGGTCGCTGAGGTGGCAGTCCCGTCGGTAAGTCATCCGGGATAATGTCACTGTACTGTTTTAACAGTGCCGCCAGGTCACTCGGTACGTCGGTCAGCAGTTTCTGTAAATCGCCCCCCTTGTCTGCTGCCTCGGCTTCCCGAATGTCAACCGCGTACACGTCAGCTCCGGCCGCAACAGCGCGTTTCATCGTGATCGCGTTGACACGCACCGACGAAGACTCAGGCGAGCCCCAGCGAGGTAAGGCGATGTTGTTACCGTTTACTCGCACGGTGCAGTCACCCGTCGTCCAGTCAATTCGCGGATTGTGTCGTCGCAGCCAATCACGCCCGAGTAAAATGTCGGTTCCGTCGAGGGTCGTTGCGAGCATTTCCTGACTAAACGTGAAGTTACCCCCGCATCGAATCCGAACTCGGTCTACGCGTTCCCGTATTGCCAGCGGCGTGCCGTCTACCAGTCGTGCGTCGATCTCAAGTAAGCATCGGTCCAGTGGCAGTCGCAGTTTGCGTGCTGTAGCAGTGTTAATGAGGCTGTGGCTGGCTCCCCCGTCTACGAAGATTTTAACTAAGTCCGTCCCAAGTTTCCCACTGAGCAGTATAGGGCTATCTACCGTGGTACCCTCCTTATTCGGCCGGGTGTGGTCGATTGCGTGAACCGGCACAATCACTCGGTGAGGGTCGGTTGGGTCGGGCGAGCGGCGTGACCTGTCAGTAGAGGGCCCGTCTGCTACTGACTTCCAGCGTTTCCCTGCTGCTTGGTCTGTGTCTGCTGCTCAGCTTCCCCCTTTCCCTTAGCGTTTTCCGGGCATTCGCTCTTGCGATGTCCCGGCCGATTGCACGCAAAGCAGCGCCCTTTGAACGGTGCGGCAGCGGCATTTGCGGCGACGGCGCGTATCGTGGCGCTCTCGTTCGTCCCACGAGGCCGATGTCCCCAGGTGTTGTTTCCGTAGGACCCCGGTCTCGGTCGGCGAAAGAAGTCGAGCTTCTCCGCCATAGCGAGAATTTCCTGAAACTCAGTGACGCCGCGAAGC